TCTAATTAGAATAATTCTGTTGTCTAAAAGCAGCAAGATGTTTTGGCCTAATCTATAAACTCCTGACTTTTTCCCTTCTCATCTTCACCTCCAGTGTCACCAATGTAACCAGAAACTGTCAACAGCACTGTGTCTATCACCATGACCTTTGGAGTCAGCCTGGCTTTCCATTTATTACTCTATTTTCTAAAAAGCAGTAACAACTGAGATGCAAACTTGGGTCACCAAGGGCAGTGTGAGGGCAGCAGGATGTATCATTGCTGGTGCAAAAATCAAATCTATGAAAATTCAATGTTGCTGTCCACCATAATAAGAAAATCGCTGAACTCATTCTCCAAAGCTTTCCAGACTGTGTAATAAGAAATAAAGAAGCCAAAAGAAGAAGCAGGGGAAGAGGGAGGTGGGGGAAGAGACCAGAAAGCAAAAATTTTAAAAAAAAAATGTTTTATAAGCATACCTATTCAGTATTACCTCTGCCAAAAAAAAAAAATGTCCAAAGAAAACACACTATCAGTATAGAAAATCATACTAGAAAGGTCTCAACTGACCGGCTACCTACACAATCAGTTTCCCTTTCGCAGAACTCTTGGAACTAGTGTTGAGTGGCTATACTCTTGACAAATCACTATTGCAATAATGTACCTTCACCCTCAAATTGTTCCTTGGATAAGTGTTCAGCTTCTGAAGAGTCCTCAAGTGTAATAATGATTGGTAAGGATGAGGTAAAGGCTTTATTTTTCATGGTCAAGTTTCTAGCTACTAAGACAGACAGAGTCCTTGGAAACAAACAGTAACTGGGTTCTTGACGTAAGTCTGGGTTTGATGGCAATGGAAGAGAAGAAAAGGGCAGAAGTGTCCTGACACTCAGCTGGTGAGGGATTTGCGAGGATAGTAGGATGGACAATAGCTTGAGCTGAAAGATTAAGTGCTCTAGGTGTTGAGATCTGAGGAACCCACTTTTCAAAAGCAGAGAATCCTATTTTAGGATGTACAATTCCCACAAGTACTGTAGGAGATACAGTTACTAAAATTTCTCTTATGCCAAAAATAAACGTAAACATGTCAACTCTTCTCAGAAGGTTCTATAGAGTTTTACAGTTTTGAGTTTTCCTCACCTTCTGACAGCCAAGAAAGGAACCCCAATTGGGACTTGACAGCCATTGTTATTTGAAGACTTTGGGAGTGTTTAGTCAGCTGTGGATGGCATATCCACGTGATTTCATTAAACTCGTAATGCTCCACTTCAGCTTGAGACTCTCAATGTTCATGACTCCTTTTTTGAAATGTTGCTCAGACTATTTTAAAGTTTATTTTTAAATTTCTGGCCTTCTTGATGTTAGGATTTATTCATTGATATTTTAAAAAAAACATATAGCATAAAATTTGCCATCTTAACCATCTCCAGGTGTACAGTTCAGGAGTGTTAAGTATATTCACATTGCTGTGCCACCAGTCTCTAGAACTTCATCGTTGTGCAGAACCCAAATTCCATCCTATTAAATGACAACTCTATATTTCCCCAAACTCAGCCCCAGGTAACCACCATTCTACTTTCTGTGTCCATGGGTTTAGCAACTCTTGATACCTCATGAAAGTAAAGTCACATAGCATTTTTCTTTTGTGAGTAGTTTATTTCACTTCAACAAGATTTATCCATGTTGTAACATGTGATGGAATTTCCTTCTTTTTCAAGGATGAATATATTCCTGTGTGTGTGTGTGTGTGTGTGTGTGTGTGTGTGTATGATCTCATCCTTTATTGATTCATTTTATGGAGGATATTTGGGTCGCTTCTACCTTTTGACTACTACAATTATGCTTCTTTGAATTTAGATTTAATGACTTTTCAAAAATAACTTCAAGTGACTTAAATTCATGATAGTATTGTAGTTTTGTTCATTG